AGTTGACAAAATATTTAAATTTAAAGTTAAGAAAACTTTTACTTAGAAAAAATTTGTCCCATTTCTACTGACTCCCCTCCATATATATAATTTTTAGAATATTTGTATTTCAATCTTCTGAACAATTTTTACTTAATAAAATTTTTTGCAATTAACTAAAAATTACTTTTTTCTAAATAAAAACTTTATATAATATTTTAATCAAAAATTATGACTTATTTTGACAATATATGATAAGTAGTTTAAGAATTATATATTAATATTATTATCATTTATAATGTTTATAAAAATATTTTTTATAAGGGTGTGAAATTTAGTATAGTTAGTAAGTTGTTGTATCTCTAAGTAGCAGGTCAAGAGTTCAAATTCTAGTGGCAATGAAATTTGAATTTACAAAATGTACTAGTAGATTGTATCCTATTAAAATTTTCTATACAACTCTTTCCAATGATCATCTGATCAACAATAAACAAGAAACCGAACTACGGTCAGCACTATAGAAGACATTTAAATAAATAATAAACTTGGTCTTACAGAAGTAGGTGTGTTGTTGACGAAATACCAAGAGTATAAAACTGAAAAGCAGTCTACTTTGGAATGGTTTTAATAGAAGTCAAGCTCTTCTTCTGGCAGACTCCTCTGTCTATTCGGTATCCAAACCAGAAGGATATTTTGAAAACACAGAATATCTAGAACAATACTAGGAGTATTATAAGCTTAAAATGTTGTCAAAAAGTAGGCGTTTTAGCTTACCCCCTTCAAAAGATCGACACTTAATTTTCCAAAACAAGTCAGTATTGTTTACCTATCTAGAAATGGATAGGACTTCTATAACGGGATATCAGACAGACGTCCAGATTAAGCAACCATGTACAGACTGTATAATAACACAAATAGTATACGCGCTTCAACCAGAAAAACCATTTGACAATACTTCGAGACTTTCATATTTTAGGCTACTCTGTTTTATTTAGCTATCTTTTTTTTATGTTTTTTTTTACAATTTGGCGATGACGACAAGACCAATCTTTCTAATTTAAAGAGAAAATATTTATTATATATGAGCACAGCTCTACCTCGAATTACAATATTTGGGGAACCAGATTATTCTTTTGTACAAACAAGGGAACTATTAGTTTTATCTTCTTCTGCTTCTTCTATTTCTTCTTCTTCTTCTTCTTCTTTTTCTTCTTCTTCGTTTGTTATTGTTTCAAATTCTAGATCTCAGAAACAGTTAACTAATTACTATCAAAATAAAATATGAAAAATCTTCATAATTTATGGAAAACTGCTGTTAATCAATATGATTATATGGTGAACAATGATAATATTATAGACCTTGATGATAGTTTGGATAAAATGTATATTAATAATAATGCTTCTTTTAATGATCTTCTTGCTGATAATCAGGATACAGGAGCTGGTGTTCGTTTTGTACCAACTCCCTATATATATTCAGCAATACATCACTCTTCTCCAACATTACCTCACCATTCACCTATTCTAAATTCACAGCCTATGCCTTCAACTTCAACAAATATTCTATTTGTGTTAACTTCAACTTCAACAAATATTCCCTTTGTATCAACTTCAACTTCAACAAATATTTCACTTATGAGTACATCTTTAGACAAAAAAGATCCACCATCTATTCATTTAGATAATTCATTTCCTTATAAATTTGAAGGCCTACCTAAGGAAACAATACCTAATAAGCCTCAAGCCCAACAAGTTCTTTATCACTTTAACCATTTAGTTAAAGCTTTGAAAAAAGAACATTCACAACCCTCAAAGGAATCCCTTCTTGTTCAAATTCCTGTCTTTAAAGGAGGGGAACAGGATCCTGTATACTGGCTAAATGAATTTGAAACTGCATGTTCTGTAAATAATATTCAGGAAGCTCGAATATTAACTATTGTTCTTGCTTATCTAAAAGGGTCAGCACAATCTTGATGGAGGACTGTTGCCAGTAATATTAAGTTTTAGAAAAATAAATCAAAGCCAAATCAATTCTTTGTCTATCTATTTCACTTCCAATTTTGTACTACACATCAAAAATCTCAATGGCTTGCTGATCTTCGGTCTTGAGTTCAACAACCAGGTGAAACTGTTGAGGATTATTATATTGAATTAGAGTATTTATATCAAAAAGTTGATCCGAATAATCAATATCCAATAGAGGATAAATTACAACAATTTATTGATGGATTAAGGGATGAAATTCAGGAGTCAGTTGAAATTTCCTGTCCTATTACTATAGCACAGGCTTTGATTCGTGCTAAAGCTACTAAAGCTGCTTTCTCTCGAGGAATGCCTCTTGGTTCATATTCCTTAAATAGAGGATATCTTAACTATTATTCTTCTTCTTCTCATCATCTTGGTTCCAATACTTTTATTAATCATCAGGCCAATAATGAAGTTTCTCAAACTGTTTAAGCTGTTCTAAACTATCTTAAACAGCAAAACCAACCTAAATCTAATACTTCTCAAAACAATAACAATAATAATAATCACAATAATAAAAATAATAATCAAAATAATAGTTCTTCTCAACAAAATGTAATTGTGTGTCAAATCTGTAATAAAAAGGGCTATAGTACATATGATTACTATAAAAGGAATAGCAATAACAACTCTAACAATAATAATCAAAGGAGAGAAAACTTTTAATATAATAATAACCAAACCAATAATAACAATCAACAATTACCAAGGAATAATTCTCAATCACAATCACAAACTCTTCCATCTTCAAATAATCAAAATACTCATCTCATATATTATACACTTTTTGCTGAAGATTTACAAAGCTTTATTCGAAACTCAGCACAATCTTTAAACTCCTAAAGGCACACTGTGAGGGCAGTAGTGCTTGTCAACAAAATTCTTCTTCCAATATTCTACCTTCTACTTTTCTATTAAATAATCATAATAATATTCATAACAATAATCAGTCATATATCTTAAAGGACAATAATTCTAATTATATTAATAATCAAAATTAGTTTAAATCAGCACCCTTACTGATTTCTACTAATGAATAATCAAAACCTAAGGAAGCTGTGGATATAGTTTACTGTAATGCCAGTATTAATAAAACTCTGTTTTATTTAATTCTGGATACAGGATTACTTACAAGTGTAATATCAAAACCTTTTGCTGACAAATTAAACAAATTTATTGAAAAACCATCCAATCTTTATTTTTCTGATATTAATGGTAGAAAAAAACGATCACTAGGAATTATTAATAATATTCCTCTTTAATTATCTGATACTATCATTCCTATTGATGTGGAAGTAAATGATATTCAAGGTTATGCTATAATTGCTGGAGTCAATTGGCTTAACAAAGTGCAAGGTATTATTGATTTAAAAAAAGGACAATTTAGATTTACTTGGGACAACAAATTTTATATTTTACCTATTACATGTTGGGAAAAGCCACAATATAACAATGGTGAGTCTATCCCTTTAAAAAACTCTTCTGAGTTTAATGACTCAAATAATCAAACTTTATCTGCTGAAACTAATTCTATTGAAATTAGTGAGAATGAATATGAATTATCTGATGATGAACATGAGGAATCTAAAGGATTCTTAGTTATAGGAAATTCTGATGAAAAACCTATACTTAAAATTAATAATACCCAAGTTAAATATCAAAATGAATCTTTCAACAATTATAATTTTTATTCTGAACAAACTAGTGAT